AAGAAGACCTAAGACAGTTGCGCAACTAGAAGCCTGTATTAGACAAGAATGGGACAACCTTCCTATTCCTAAACTTGAGCAACTTGTCTCCTCAGTCCCCAGACGTTTGCAGACTGTTATAAAGAGGGGATGCCACACAGTGGTAAACGTGGCCTTGTCCCAACTTTTTTGAGGTGTTGATGCCATAATTTAAAATCAACTTATTTTCCCTTAAAATTATGCATTTTCTCAGTTTAAACATTTGATATGTCATCTATGTTGTATTCTGAATAAAATATTGAAATTTGAAACTTCCACATCATTGCATTCTGTTTTTATTCACAATTTGTACAGTGTCCCAACTTTTTTTGGAATCGGGTTTCTACATTTCGTGTTGCTGTTAATAAGTTGCCAATAAGCTAACATTACATTTTACATTAAAGAAACAATGCATTTAAATTTTGTTGGTCTTTTATTTTAAGCTTGCAAACGTGTTAACAATTGTGTGTAATGAATAAAAGGGTCATCTTCAGGTAATGGTGCCATTTGTGTGCCATGACATTTGGATTGATGGATTCTTGAAAATTCAGCAGCAACCTTTTCAAATGAAATAAATTATTATATATCAGAATTGTTTTAATTATATACAACAGGATATTTACAGCAGTGACAGTACCCTGTTGAAAAAAACAGCATATGCTGGTTCGGTATGTTTTGAAGCATGGCTGCTGGTTTGATCTAATTGCTTTGGACCAGCACATGCCCAGCTTAAACCAGCTCATGACCAACTAAGGACCAGCTAAAACCAGCTGCCCTGCTTAAAAACATACCTAACCAGCATAAGCAGTTTTTTTTTTCAACAGGGTACTGTCACTGCTGTAAACAGATCCTCTCAGACAACATAGACTGAAACTTAACATCAGAGTGTATATCTTTTGAGCCTACTACAATTACAGATTAAACATGTGACCCTATTTATTCTGTAGGTCTATATAGATTGAAATTATTCAAAAAGAATGCAACACTGCATTTGACAGACATATTTGACGACATGTGCACTGCTTATGTTTAATATTCTGGGTTACCATAAAGTCACGGGGAGACACTTTTTATTGACACTGATTTGAGAATAGGTTACCTTTTTGTAAATATGAAACAAAAGGTAAATAAATACCCTTTTTGTGGCTTTTCAGCAGTTAAACAGTATCTAAAACAATTAATGAAACTGCAAATAATAGAGTAATAATGACAACACAAAACGAATTGAAACCTGATGTTTATATTAAAAAAAGAAAAACATACTTTGTCTTGAGAACACAGTTCATTATAGTTTACTCTTGCCTGAATATATTCAATTGCGGATTTATCGTTCATTTATTTACCCCAAAGCTATAGCGAAAAAATATTATAATACTGATTTTTGCTTGCAAGACAGAATTCACATGAATTGTCCTAATATGCCTCCAAGACGTTCGAAACACTCTAAATTACTGCTAGAGAAACCAATAATTTATGACTAAAAACATTAGGTTATTAGAGTCCTTTGAAAATCATTTTAAAATACAGCCAACGTGACATCTAACCCCAGTGTTTTCTATGAGTCATAACTTAGGGTGACCATACGTGCCATTTTCCCAGGACGCGTCCTGGCCAGGACATAGAATATAGAAATCCTGGCCAGGACGCGTCCTGGGGAAAATGGCACGTATGGTCACCCTACATAACTACAATCAGACATCAGAAAAAAATGGCAAAACAGAGAAAACTTACAGCGAACATAAATTCAAGTAAATATCACCTACCCACCCGGCTCCAAATCATTTGCGCCTTTCCGCACTGACGCAAAACTCTAAAGAAACAGTCACTTTATCAATAATGCATGATAGCCATAAGCACCAAAAGCTCGCAGTTTTCCGTTAACCTTCAAATCCAGGTTACACACCTAGCTGGGCGGAGAGTCCCGTAATCTGCGCGAGGTGTTTGTGTTCCTCACCTGTGCGCAATACTGTGCAATCAGACGGAACGCGCACGAGTTCATTAATCACCTGTTGCTGAGGTCGCGCTTTTTAGTAGAAGACACGGTTGATGGTTTCTGCGTGATATACATTAACAAAGATATCAAATAATGGAATGCTTTGAAATAGGGTATGTCTTAGGCTATGGAAATGTGTGCGTTTGAATTCATCATGTGTTGATTTATTTATGATTCTTTTAGGGCTTTATGGGTAATGGTCACTATAATATGCATTCATGCTGATACCTCTGAAGGTAAGCCATGCTGTTGGTTTAAACCGTTTTGTGTCAAGTCATGTAATTCATTACTTAATGGACACATTTCTTGATTGCAGATGGAATCCAAGCTGAATGTCTTGGGAATAGAGTACAGTTTATCCTCCCCGGTTCTTTGAGTGCAGGGAATCCTTTAGAGGTGTATGCAGTCAGTAAGTTAATTATCCATTTGTTTGTGTGCCAATAAGTTAAATACACCCAGGAATCAATTCAGACCTCCTCTGGGTGTTTCAGATAACACGCATACAGTCCTTCTCTCACCTCATCTGGCGGCTCAGTGTGGCTATAAACAGAAATCTGATCCTTGGGGGAATATGATAGTCTCAGCTTCCCTACAGAGTTGTTTTGCAGAGAACCAGGTTTGTGTCTTTTATAAATTAAGCATTCCTTTTAACCATCTCTAGTTCTGAAGCTATAGTTTATCATGTAAATAATTTAGAAAATGTGATGTGGGTGTTTAGGAGGGAAAGGATTTGTATTTCTTATTACACATACCCAACCGTTTTGAATAGGGTGACAAGGAGTTTAAAGTAGCCGTGCAGTTTAAACTGTATGAAATCCCCACGCTATCTGAGAAAGTCCATGAAGTGTTCAAGTCCTGCAGTCACACCATGATTTCACGAGAGATTTTGTGTGAGACGAACTTCATGGAGGCAAGTAACCTCTCTTATTTTCTTTTGAATGTCATGTTTTTTTTACTTTCTAAAAAAAAAGTTTAAGTTTGACCAATAGCAGCAGGATAGTTTATAGGATTGATGGCTGTTCATTTAGAAAGAAAATGCTTATCTAATTAGATAACTCCAGACTAGTGTTCTAATGTGGCAATGGAGTTGAAGTGTGATATTGCTACCTGCCTGTGCATGCCTGTTTGTTCTGTCAGGTATCCGTAAGGAATGCGTTACCAGAAATCAAGATTGAACCAGTAAAAGAGTGGGTATGTATAAAACTGTTTTTATTGGTGCTTCGGTATGCATTTTTACTGGTGTCCCACACAATTTATACTAAATTAATGACATCTCAAATTGTGGGTTTTTAAGGAGGTGTGTGCTGCTCCTCTTATAAACAATCACTTGATGATTCCTACCAAGGTGAAGGTTTTTTTTTTTTTGGCTTGTGATGTTGGAGCCTGTGCTGTTATCTCCGCCTACTGGGAACTTTTTCAGGTTTCTGATTTGCCAACATTGCTTTAAGGTTGATTATATCGCCACCTGTTGGTTTGGCATGCTCTTAACAGTGCTTCATAGCATGCGTTTGCGTTTTCATGTGGATGGAGATTTTTTTTTTTTTTAAACGGAAGGAAAAACTCAATTTATAAAAATACCAGTGCATGTGTGGACATGTCCTTAATCTGTATGCTTGCAAACAATGTATTGTATTTTATTTTTTTTATGGTCACAAAATAAGTTCCTTATAAAATAAAGTACCCTCTCAGATGCTATGAGATTCCAAATTAGCATGCGTTTGCGTTTTCATGTGGATGGAGATTTTTTTTTTTTTTAAACGGAAGGAAAAACTCAATTTATAAAAATACCAGTGCATGTGTGGACATGTCCTTAATCTGTATGCTTGCAAACAATGTATTGTATTTTATTTTTTTTATGGTCACAAAATAAGTTCCTTATAAAATAAAGTACCCTCTCAGATGCTATGAGATTCCAAATGCAGCTATAGACTGAAGGAGAGGGTGGGATCCTATTTTGGCCTACCAACTACTAAAAACTCCCTAGCAACTGTATAAGAAGGCACTAAAAATACTTAGCAATACTAAATAGATTGGCAACCATATAGTAATGTCCTGGCAACTACCCTAGCATTTGCGTGTTTTGCATGTGCAAGTACCACCTTTTTTGGGGGGGGTGTAAGCGAGTCTTTTTCTTTACAGATAACTTCATGATTATCTTTGATACAGAAAAACTGATGTTGTCCCTCTTTAACAGCCCACAGTTATACCTAACTTGCAACTTTGGAAAATCCTACTGTACACCCCTGGAGAGAAGGCGTTTGATAAAGACGCCCTACAAGCGATGGGCTACAGTGTTTACAGTTCTCCTACACGACTGGTCATGCGAAGCCCATTTGACATGGCTGAAAACTTTATCCAAAATGTATGAACGGTTTTATGTGCTTGCATATATGATGCATTAATTTATCTCTAGTGCCTGAAGTATTTTTCCTTGTTAGGTTGACAATGTTGATATGATGGTGTTCAAATCAGTGGTCCTGTTCCGAGACCGCTGGGTCATGACTATTGTGGAGTCGGCAGCTGCCTGTCCAATCAGTGAGACTTCATTCACACACACTTGGGTTATTTTGCCATATTGGTGTTCCACAACTCATATTGTGCTCTGATTTGACTTAAGATGGAGCTTCTGTTGTGGGTCAGATGATTTATTGGCACGTTCCTCTGCGCATAACCCCTTTGGTGTCATCGGAAGTTGAAATCCTGGAGGTGCACTTGGGTGTTAATGGCAGAAGGTTCACACCTGAAGAGATGGGCAGCCATAACTATGTCATGGCCATCACAGATTCCCATATCGTTGTTGAGATTCCCATTGGGGCTGCTGATGGATACTACAAGGTTGTGTTTTCAACTGTTTTGCATTTAACTTGAAGAGAATGTCTAACTTTATTTGTATTATTATTACAGAGTCATGTTCTTAATGACCAGTA